AAGCTCAGAGGCCTTCCGTACACCTCATCCTTATGTCATGAATAGGGGATGCGCCATGTACACGAATTCTTTTCGGAACGCATCACTCGTCTGCAAGCTACCTCGCCGCACTATTTAGTGCTGATCACTTCAAATACGCCCCCCCCCCCCTGTCGCGGATTCTTCAACATATGCTTGACCCTGCTACACACCCATAGCTGCTCACGAAGTTGAGTCAATACTCTCTTTGCCCCAGGGATAGTTTGGCCCATAGAAATGGGCACGGCCCCCTTTCTGATATTGGTGCCAGACTGGACCCCAAATTGTTTCGTATTAGGTCATTCAGTACCTTGGTCCAATATTATATGTGGAATCCATGGTTGAACCACCCACCACAGACGGAAAGATAGGATCTACGGGGTCAGAGGGTCATGACGCTATGTGGGCAAGAGAGCGTCAATGACAGAAAGAATTTGATGCCTTTTGAAGCAACGTGTTCGAGAAGCTCAAAATCCAACCACACCGATAGAACTGGCGTATGGAGCGTTACTTCCGGGTCGTAGCGAATGCGACAGAATGGAAGCTGCGACTCACAGATAGATATCGTTACGATCAGTCGGGATTTCAAGAGGGATTGCGTGACCCTTCTTGGGACTTTCCAGCACTAGTTGTTTTCCTCCTGAATCGATCTCGAACGATCACAACTGGTAGAGGAAGGCAGCCGATGTGAGCTCAAGCCAACGCCCCTCCCCCCCCACTACCCTGACAAAGCGTGGACTGATTGCGATGTTAGCAACCATGCTCCTCGCTCGCACTAGGACCTAATCCACTCAACGTAGCAGTGCACGGTGCGCCAACTTTATTGACCCTCTCTGCATTTGCGTCTCCCAAATCGAATAACTCTCTCTCTCTGAGTGACGTGACAACTGGAACTTTTGGTGAGGTCCCGGGGCGAGAGGCCAGAGCGCAGGCAATAGAGACTGCGCCTGCCAAGACATCGAAAGATGCGAGAACAGTTGAAAGGTCAAAAGACAGGGAAAATAGGTATCACTTCGCAGAGTCTAGAATGCGCTTGAATTGACATCAGTTCCGCTGCTCCAGTCGCTATATGGTGCACACACGTCACACGCACACATTTGCCGCTTACCACTGATCGATGCGGCGCGCGCAGCGCGCGGCGAATTACGGTTGTCTTGTCCGTTTCTCGGTATGTGCGCACACGAGCGTGTATTGCTCTTCTTTTATTATTTTTACAAGCGTATCCATATTTAAATGTTAAACACATAAAAGAGGCGCCAAAATTTATTGCGAAAGACCAAAAGATTCAAAAGAATCAAAAAGTCTTCACCAGAAATTTATTTGAATCCTTTATTTTACTTGTCTTGACCACAATATAAAATTTTGTGAAACTTGCGATTCTTAACCGTTTGATCTTCACAATAAAATTTTGTCCTCTTTTACTGTTAAGATTCAGATTGCAATGGGCTCCGGGCAGCCAATTTTAAAAACGGTTCATCCATATTTATTAAAATCTGACTTTCACTGAATTCAGTCATCAAGTATTATAACAACAGAGGTCACAGTGAGAACAAAACTACATACATAATGGCAGATCAAATATTACTAAACTATCCGTTCATTTGGACCAATCATAATGCTGGTGTAGGTGACATGTGCATATAGCGCCCGCTTGTCCCTGGAAATATGTTGAAAAACCGAGGAGGAAATCTTCATGTGCGGAGCGTCCAGAATCTCATGAACCCCCATAATTCAATATCCGCATATCCCCTATATGGCCCCAGAATCGCATCACAGACGGGGATTGATCGGCACTACCCGCTTGTATTTCGGGTATATGATAGCCGGTGGGCAGGCGTTGCATCCTTGCAGTCTGCCACTCTCCCATTTCTCCGTATTTTACTCTCCCAAAGACCCTATGCGCCCATTGCGATCGATACCAGATCGCGTGATTGGGCAATCGGGCGACCTACTGTTTCACCATAGTCTGTGAATACACAAGCGACCGGAGCCGATCAATTTTCGTCTGCGGGTGCATTCGCGTCCATAGCCTTGGAGCACTGTTGCAATCAAGGCGAGTTTCGCGCGCCGTCTCGCGTCGACGAGCGTCATCGCGAAGTCTGAACGCTGCCATAGAAGCCACCTTAATACCAAGCGACTTGAACAATCCACATCTCACTGCGATTAATCGCACTCTTACGTCAACTGTTGGATCGCTGCGAACGCGTCACGGTTTCATTCTCAATGTGATTGAGATAGCAGTTGCAGCGGTCCAACTATTAGCAATGCAGCGCGACCGACCACAGTCACCCGATTCTCGGACCGCAAACCTGAGTGTCGCCTTAATTATAAAAAAAGTTGTCAACCTTGAAAGGGCGTCCACATTCGGTGCAAAGGCAGTGCATATCTTCGGCTCCCAAGTGCAACTTTTTGTCTTTCATCAAGGTGATACGATTTTTGAGGGGTTTGTAGCAGACATCGCATTGCACTTCGCCTTCGGAATGTTGCTGAATAGATTCGATATACGAATTCCGGTGGGAATATATACATTTAGATTTACGCCCAAAAACTTGTATTTCTCGCATAACTATTTACACAAAGCGGTACAGGAATTGAGGATGGGCCGTGGAGGGTAGGGGACAGGGGCGGCGCGACAAGATCTACCCGTCTGCAACTCTTTCCATGATAATGATCTCTTCTGCCTCCAAGCTGAGAAACAGGTACAGCATCGTGATGTGTGAAATGGTGGTGCCAGTAGTACCCCCTCCCTTCTCGAGGGAGAGTCTTGGTACGACCCCTCCCCACCTAAATGCGGGTCTCGGTACGATCCTTCCCTTCCCCAACTCCTACTACCGAGTTCCCCACATTTTCCAGTTTTCCACCCAGACTTCTGACATTTTCCGTTTCCGTCGAGCTGGGGGAGGGAGGTAAATACTACCGTGAAACAGGAAAAGTCCCGCGAACACTCAACAACCGAGAAAAAAAACTTTTTCCAACGCGGCAAGTTTCTGTTAAAGTTACATGCGACCCCCCTAGGTGTTCCACACAGCGATGCTTTACCCTGCTGAGAAATAGAAGAGCGCAGAGGACCGCAACCAGGGCAGTAAGCAGCGTCACCGCCTGCCCCTGTTCTCCGCAACTCCAACAAGAAAAAGGACTTGAATGGATGAAGTGAAATATCATTGAAGAGACGCTCCGCGGTAACCAGATGGGCGGGGCCACACGACCATTACGTCTTTCTCATTAGTGCGGCATTCACTGCAGAGAAAGGAAGGGCGCACTGCGGAAAAGGGCGCAACGGTGCCCCTTACGTCAAGTTGTTTAGCTCCGCCCACTCAGTTATCGTGAAATGTGCAAAGAAATTGCTTTGAATTACACGTACTTTTACGTTGTGGAGATAGAGTCCTTTAGAAGAAGAGAAATCGATACGACATAAATAACAAAAAGTGTTCTTGTAATCACTTTCGAGCGCGGCTGCCGAGGTGCTATCAATCTGAATAGGAATTTGGGACTTTTGAGAAGAAGCCTCTGGTGAACACTTGGAAACGAGCTAAATAATTGAAATTGTAACTTACATCAACGTCACGACCTTCAGCCATACGCTGCAAAAGTGAGTGCTTGATTTTACTGGAAGCCGAGTGTTTCTTCAACTCTGCTTTCGATGTAGTAGAACGGTCTTCGCTTGCGGGGAGCTGGATAGGATCCGCCTCCTTAACAACCTTTATTTGAAGTTCCTCGAGAGCCAAGGTACGTTTTGATGAAAAAAAAAACGAAAAAGGGAAACTTCTCATTGAATAAGGACCATCTAATGAAAGCTGCAATTAATGTGATTTTGTGCAAGAGCGTTAGAGCTATCGTAAACCGCCAATCAAAAAAATTGGAAAATTGTTGAAAAATTACCGCGCGGAGAATAGTCTCCATTTCATGCTGATAAACAAGTTCGCTGACGCTGTCGCTCAGTACATCCACGTCGAGGCAACACGATGTTGCAAGTAGTTTCACGTGCGCGGCATTTGCACGAGAACCTAACTGCTGCATACAGTGTCAACTAGCTGGGTGATGGCTCCTAGACGTCGCTGCAACGCGGATCTCCTGTACGACATCCGTTATGAACGAGTTTGTGATACAACACACAATGGATGTTGTGCTGAAATTGCTTTAATGATGTACATCGACTTCGCAGGCTCTGAGGAAGCCGATTACGTCAACCCCGAGAGACTGACAGATCTCATTGAAATACTCCGTTCATGATGCCGAGATTCTTCGAAAGCCTATCTTGGAATTCGCGGCTATTTGGATTTTACATGCACAACCTACTTGGGCTGCCCTTGTCCGAAGCACTGCATCTGTTGTCTTTACCTTTTTTGAAAGAACAAAAAGGAGGGCTTTTCTGAAGGACAGGAGGTGGTGTAGTGACAAGTGGCGCGCTCACCACTCGCGCGGTCCTGGGTTCGAATCCCGGGTCGACTCCCGCCCAGGCCAACCAAGCCTTCTACCCTCCGGGGACGGTAAATTGGTACCAGATTCGTCTGGGAGGATAAAACACTGACTTGTACATCGGCTGGCCCCGCAAGTCATTGTATAGGCCACATCGCATTCAATAAGCCACTACGATTCTGAATGGAAGTAGAATGCGTGCCGCATCCCACAAAGGGATTGATCAACAGCGGAGGGTTTACCTTTTTTATCCTTTACTTTTTCCGAAATGCAAATTGTGTGCCCATTAAACTATAAGAAACGGTTTTGGAAAGCCCAGCTGGTCTGCACCTGACACAACATTTTGCAAAACTGCTACCTAACGTCGCGACGCGTGCCATACCCACTTATATACTTCGCACTTCGTTTATACGGAGAAATTGGCCATCGGGTCTGCTGTAGTCCTAATGTTTGCTCGAGGTCCTAAGGAGACCACTCGATTACATCCCTCTCCGACGGTTGTCAACCCATTGATGAGAATGGCTACCAATGACGGTGAGCACAAGTGGGGATCACGGCCTCAGTTCTTTACTTTTTCGATGACTGAATAAATTTCCCTATAATATTGCGGAATGACTCGACCATGGCTCGCTTATTGTTGCCGTAGCAGATCTCGTGTTCGTGATAATCCTGCTTCCTTGAGCTCCGAATCCATTACAATTAGGCACGTAGGAGATGGTGATCAACTAATCGCTCTCCTTCATCCGTTTAAGACTGAATTGGCGGGCCTGATGCACCACTCGATGATTTTCACTCCCAGACTCCGTAGTGGAAGAGCAGTAGTTATTCAGCGCTGTTATTGCTACTTCCTTGATATTTATAAATACTTTCCATACCAAAAGCTTAGCCAGCTATAGGGCTACGTTGGGTACACAGTACGTCAACATGTCTCCATGAAT